TCCTCATTTAGTGTTGAATAGTCAAAATTAGGCTATGTGGTTAGTTCTGATTGGTCACACGTAAAATCTGATTTCTGGTATAACTATTTGGTTATAAATTCACAATGCACTTTCCACAACTATCCTTCAAAATACTCTTAACATTTATCATTTCTCTTTCCATCAGTAACGGTAAAATTAATCACTGTAATGCCATAGAAAACATACACAAAACAGAAAGGAAATACACTGAATTTACAAACCACCGAAACAACTCTCACCAAAGTCTCTTCTTTTCCTAATTCAGAAACCAGTATGCTACTCTCATCCCATTTAACCTGTCAGCCACTGTAGGCTTCCATGACCCTGTTCTCTCCTCGTTCTCTTCCTACCTCTTTAATTGCACCATCAGTGTGTTCTGCAGGGGATCTTCCTCATCCTTCCTCCAGCTTTCTGTAGCAGTCCCACAGGGCTCTGTCCTTGATTCAGCTGCCATCTTTAGAGTGACGACTCACAGCTCTCTCTCCTCCAGACCAGTCGCCTTCTGTCCAAACTAAAATCGCAGCCTGTGTCTCTGACATCCCCTTGTGGATGTCCAGCCACCAGCTGGAGCTGAACATGGGCTCCTTGCCTTTCCCCAAGCTCTCTCAACCACCTACTTTTTCAGTTGCTCCTGCCTGTTGCCCAGAACACTGACCTCTGCCTAGATTCTCACATCCAGGCTATGTCTAAATCTTGCTGATGCTTTCTACGAAACACCACTAAAAATATGATCATTTCTATTCCTCCACACAGCTAAAACTCTCATCCAGGTGCTCATCATCTCAGGTCTCAACTACTGCTGCATCCTTCTCACTGGTCTTGACAAACTCAGTCTTGCCTCACACCCATTCAGAATGCTGCTGCAAAGGTTATTCTCCTTCCCTGTCACTTTGACCGTGCCACCTTTCTCCGAGTCTCTAAGCTGCTCGTCTTCATTTTTGAGGCCCATTATGGTCTATCCCCACCCTACCTATCATGTCTCATTCGCTATCAAAATGGTGACTGTCCCATCTGATCAGCCCATGGTGCCAGCCTCCAACATCCACCTCTTAAATTCCCTAACAAGCACCTTTGTGCTTTCTCCCCTGTTGACTCTCATGCTTGGGAGCATCACCCCTAAACATCTTCAAAATTACCCCCATTTCAAAACTTTCCTTTGTGGTGGGCCTGCCTAAAACAGCTAGGCTGCTGGTGTGCTGATGCCTCTGCCTATCAAGCTGACCAAGATTGTCTCATTGCGTTCTTGTTCTCCTCCACTGGGCTGTGTGTACCTATCTCTTGTCTTTCATGCTTTGATTGTATGCCCAATGGGGCAGGAACCATTCTTGTTCTGTCTAGCACAGCGCCTAGCACAATGAGGTCCAGACCCATGACTGAGGCATCCAGGTGCTGTGTTAACACAAATGCTAACAAATAAACAATCCAAGCAAGCTCATTTTTGAATGCAAAGCACCACTGCCACTGAAGTTTCACCCTAGAGGCTCCTCCATACTGGCAGAGAGGCAGCTCGACCAAATCTGAATGGCATTGCAACCCCACACACCAGGTCACAGAGCAGGGAGCAGGGCCCAGCCTCGTGGGACACTATTCCTGCAGGGTGTGCTCCCTTTCTAAACCTTCCTTCCCCTTGCACCCTCATATGTGACAATATTTTGGAAGAGTGGGAGGGGCTTATTTTCCAATTTTGCTGCAGATCCTCTGAGGGTATGTCTACACTACAGCGCTAATTCGAACTAACTTAGGGTATGTCTACACTACCCCGCTAGTTCGAACTAGCGGGGTAATGTATGCATACCGAACTTGCTAATGAAGCCCGGGATTTGAATTTCCCGGGCTTCATTAGCATAAGCGGGGAGCCCACTTAGGGTATGTCTACACTACCCCGCTAGTTCGAACTAGCGGGGTAATGTATGCATACCGAACTTGCTAATGAAGCCCGGGATTTGAATTTCCCGGGCTTCATTAGCATAAGCGGGGAGCC